GTCGTCGTCGTCGTTTACGTTTACGTTTACGTTTCGTAACGTTCGTTTCAATTTATCGAGAGTTGACGTTTGCAAATGCACGACATGTAGAAGGAGATTGGCGGTGGCAGTTCGTATCCGTATCCGCATCCGCATCCGCATCCGCATCCGCATCCGCATCCGCATCCATGTCCGCAATCGTATCCGTAGCCACATCCGCAGTATTCTCATTCCTCTATTCACGAAGAACCAAGAAGAAACTTTTCACGTTGTCGTCGTTTCGTCCTTTCGTTTCCTTTCAATTTGTCACGATTTCCGAGCGAATCGAACGCGTTTCTCGCGTTGTAAACCAGTAAATCCAGTTAAATTTCATATTATTTTCGGCTCTCTTCGTGTTGCAAGCTTCTCCCTTGCCCTCCCCCTCCCTTACTCCGGTCACTGAGTTTTTCTCTCTTCATCTTTAAGATTTATTTATTCGTGTACCTTGTTGTTGGCAAATTCAACGTTTGATTCGACGTATCATCGTAATTGGGATCGTGGATTTGTTTGCTCGTTCTTTCGGATTTCCGTTGGATTCGAAAGACGATCGATGCGAAAGCTGTCTCTCTCGTTCTTCGTTTCTCCTATTTTCTCTCCGTTTTCCTCGAAATCATTACACGCGTGCAAATCGAATTACACGCCATTCGACGCCAAGTTGAAATTGGCTTGTTGCCGAGCTTGTTCGCGCTACGTTCGAATAAAAGTTGAATTTCGGGTGTAATCTCTTTGTGTGTGTGTGTGTGTGAGCGCGCGCGCGCTGCGGATAAGAAGCAACGTTACTTTCGGATAAAACGGATAAAAGTAGCGCGTAATCTGATAATGACACGGTGATTCGCGGGAATCGCTTGAAAGAATGACAAACAAGGGACGGTAATCGGGTGGAGATGGACGTTGATAAATATCTTGCTACGACTGACTGTATATTAGCGGAATCGGTCGGCGATTCGATCGCGATAACGATTAATCAACGTTCGTGGTTAGGTGGATTTTCTCGGCGTGAGAGAGAGAGAGAGAGAGAGTGAGAGAGATAGATCGCATCGAGGAGAGATTCAAAGAGAATCGGCAAAATTTGGCACGTGGAAAAAAGTCTATTTTCGTCGATGGAATGCGACGCGAAAGCGGTCGACTTCTCCCACTGTTTTGACTCTCGGACTCTCTTGTAACTAGAACCGTCGTCGTCGTCGTCGTCGTCGTCGTCGTCGTCGTCGCCGGTCGTTGTAGCAATGCTCTCGTAATCTCGTTGCTTGCAGCATGTCTCATTTATCTTTTGGAATTTAATCGATTCGTTGAAAAAGTTGTTACTTTTCATCGAGGAATTTAAGATAAAAATGGCGGTTCGAACATTGCGATGCGTAGATTTTAGATGATCTATCAATCGCCCGTCGAGTTCAGTCGCTATTGTTCATCTTGACGCTTCGTCTTGAAAATCTTAAAATTCTCGTATATCGGCATTTCTCTTCTCATCTTGACTTTTTCTTTCCTTCCTTTCTACCTGTCGCGGTATTATCTTCTCCCATCTTTCATCGTTCCGAGGGGAAGTTCTTACAAATTTACGATTACTTTTCGAGTAAACGTTATCAGGAGAGACGGGAGGAAGTTTGTGTAAAAGTGAATCACACGATACGCGATACAAGGGCGAGAAGCAAAAGCACGAATATTTTACGCAATGCGAGATAACTGGACGTACGTGAAATGGAAAGAGGATCTTCTAAACTCGTGTATTTCGATGCAATCGTCCAATCGTCGCGTCGTTGTATTTTCGAAAGAAACGCGCGCGGCGAGTAGAGAC